ATAATTTTCTTTTAATGTACTATAGAGCTCCTTCAACATGTTTAATAATAACTAATAAAAAATTACCTGAAAAAAACTAACTATATACAATATTAGTACATGCAAGAATGGTACTTCTATAAACATTTTCTCGGTGCAAACAATATAAAACACTATTTGAAATACACCAATGGAAACAGATATGTGTTCATAATTATTTTACATGAAGATATTTGACTGTCTAGGCATTGTGAACGTTCCAAGGCTAAAAGCACAGCTATCGGCAAACCCCTTTAAGGATTTCAGGAGCTTCTTTTATGATCTTGAAAATCCACTGAATATGTGAGGTATGAACATTCTTCAGTCATACCAGGGGAAGATAATGTATTCATAAGTATATAGGCAAACACTTGAAATATGGCATGCAGACCCTTAACTTGTACGGATGCACCACAGCAGCAGCTTAAACCTCAAAGTACAAGGTGGACAATTAAAGGAAGATCAGGGGAAAAAGTGCTACCAAGGCTAGTTTTCTAGAAATTTGCATAAGTGGTTGATACTTGGAGATTAATAAAGGGGGCAGAAGAAATTTTATGCCATACGAGTAAGTCTTATCTTGTGTTCTGAGCACATTGTGCACAAGATGCTTAAAGAAGGAGCCTTCTTGCATGAAAAATATTTTCTGCTGGAAGCAAGCTAAGAACTTCTTTGCAAGCAAAAGCAGATATAATCTAAATATATCATTGGTAGACCAAATTACCTTAGCCTGCCACATGAACCAAAATTTTAACACATCTGGTCTGCGTCCACACTGCAAGTACTTGTCCCCAACATCTAAATCGGTGGGATAGAATTTGTCTTTTTGAAAAAGATAAGAAGCCTGCTTGGAATGTGCCTCTTTTAAAATATTTTGATGCCTGGTCAGAAATAGGGAACATTGTTGAGGAACAGCTAATAATTTGTGTGGATTAAACAAAATGGAATCAGCTCTTTCTATTCCTCGCAGAAGGACACTGTGTTTTTTACTGAATATCAAACCACCTCCCCAAGCTGCATCCACGTGCATCCACATGTTAAATTGCTGGCAAACATCCGCAATTTCGATTAATGGATCGAAGGCACCTAACACCGTTGTTCCTGGAATTAAAAATTATTTTTTTACACAATACTTTTTACACGTTTTTTGTACAGGACGATTTTAAAATGTTCTTCAACTCACCCGCGGTTGCAGAAACTGAGAAAGGGTAATTTCCAATCTTCTGTTCCTCGATTATCTTAGATTTCAAGTCATTGATATTCATCCTACCGTAATTGTCAGTTTTTATTAAAATCACCGTCACATCGCATAAATTAGCCCATTTTGAGACCGAATAATGCGCGTCCTCGGATGTGAACAGCACCAAATTCGAAGATGATATATGTATACTCTAACATGTAAGCGTGTATATTACAATATATTAATTTACATAAAATAATATTCAAGATATATATAACATGAAAAAGGTATTATAAACTAATTCGTCGCGTACCGAGAAGTATCTAATACTACAATGCAACTAGCATAAGGGTTGAAACGACTTATTCGAGATTTTCGATTTTACAATTATTGAAGACGCAAAAGTACTTCTTTCAGAATTTATTCAATAAGTTGATATTTACACAAGTATACTGCATTGAAAGCCAATTAAGATCTCAATAAATGTAATTTTGTAATTTGTATAATATAATTAAATTCAATCGTTTCGATCAATCAGTACTATTAATGTTTTAAGAGAAATTATCTGAATTTGTTCTTTTAAATTTCAGTAATACGAAAATTTTCAACAAATTTTTACAGCAGAATAATACTGTATTATTTATGATTCAAGAAATTAAAAAAAAAAGCAATGTATACATTGTGTGATCTAAGATTAAAAATCCTTTGTGGTACAAATTTCAGTTCGGAAGAAATATGTATGTAGTTTCACGGTTTTTTACAAAACGAGATTGTACATTTAGAATAAATCTACTTACACTTCGCGTCGTTTTTCTGTACCAAAATCGGGCCAAATTAATAGCCATTCCATTAGAGAAGGAACCTCCTGGGCAGAATAGACCGTCTCCAACAGTAACACCATTTTCCTCCTTGTAGAACATGCTCAGCAATTTCGAAATGATGGTCTTCTCCATTAATGTTAAAACCGGCGCCACCTCGTAAGTATACACTGAAGAGTTTAATACGTCGGTGAGCCATTGTCCAGCTAAACCATACGGATCCAATCTACATGAAATAAAATTGTTCGTATAATGGTACATGTGAGAATAGTGCAATTAAGAAAAGTGATTCACTAATTAAAACTGAAAAAGCCGTAGAAGTTTGTGAAAAAAAACTGAAAAAGCCACAAGTAAGTGGATAGAACGAACAAAATACGAAAAGCTGATTAAAAAATACGGTAGCAATAAAATAAACATTATTGTAGGTGTAAAAATTATTTTTGCCAGAGATTCTCACTTTTGACACATTATCACATGAAAATGAAATTCAGATCTGGCTCAAAGATTTCTCAGATCGAAATTGACAAAAATATAATAATACATACATATGTATGTGCTATCGGTATTCTTGTATTCTTTGTTACACAACACACAGGTGACATCAATTGTAAAATATTTATAAAACGCTACAGATGATCTACTATAAAAATAATTGCATGCTAGAAATAAAAATTGTTCAGTTGTTAAAAATGTTTTTAAGAATAACTGGCAGTTATATAGTAAGATAAAATTACGTTTACAAAAGAATGGATGGTACCAATGAATTGAGATTACATATAATTTCTATTTAAAAATCTATCATTATATTGAATGTAGTATGTTGTTTAATATATTGAATTGTATGTTATTTAATATATTAAATAGTACGTAATGTAATGTTGAATCCAGTATGAAATAGATGAAGTCATGATAATTACGGTTTTCCAATTAACAAAATGTCACAAAAAATGATTCGTTTGAAATTACTTTTGGTGTATAATAAAATAATGCTATCCGCCGCAAAATGTACATTCATTAGTGGCAATGCAATAACGCTCGTTCAAGTTAAAAATCTTTCAAAGAGGAAAATACGACAAGCAGCATTTAATACAAAATATTTAAATTTATATTATTATAGTGAATAGCATTTATCATTGCAAATTCGGTGTACCATAAAATGTGTAATATTTGCTACAATTATACAAAAGCCTCCTCGAAAGAACGAGTGCATTTTAAGCATAATCTTACCCAGAAAATAATTGATTCATGAAGTAAGGGTGACCGGTTTTGACGCTGTACTTGAAGACTTTGTCAGCGATCTCCAAGAGATTATCCTGATTGCACGGCTCGTCTTTGACATCGAACTTCACGATTTCCCGCAGGTGAGCCGATTCTCGCCATCTCGATACAGGATTTTTACGGGACACGCTTTCGAAGGCGCAATCGATTAAGACCGTAAGCAGTTTTTCGAGGAACTGCTTGTGCTTCTCCGCGCACGGTATGCTTCGCCAATCCGACATTCGATGAAGATCTCGTCGTAGATGCGAAAAAGCAACGGGGAAACCGCGCGCAGAAAGGAATGCGTACTGATCCCCTCGCGGTTGACCTCTGTCGTATATAAGCAGGGCACAAGGTCCTCGCAAATTCATACAATTACGCTTAACGAGAACACAAAAGCGTAACGTTCAAACTGGAAAATTAATGGGGCACATTGTACAGCTCACATTAAGTTAGAGGACGTAACTAAATTATGCGAAACGGTGGTCACCGGCGCAAAACAAAGGAAAGCAACAGTGTCTTTGGAAAAGATGACTTACTTTATTAGCTTACAATACGTACAAGCTATTCTGGTGCAAAACTATGTACAAGAATAACAGAATTACAGAATTACACGATGTTACGAAATCTGCAATTTGTGCAAGTGTATGCGAGGCACATAGATAGACTCCACTTTGAATGTTTGAGGCGATCCCTGGCGCTAACGAAAATTCAAACGAAACTCGGAGCTTTAGTTTCTACAAGCTGAATCAGTTATACAGGCACGAAGAAGATTGTGTTCGCATAAGTAGAAATATATTGAGCTTAAGTAAATTTAGCCGTGAGCAAACGTGCTAGTTGTGCCTTATCTATTGCCATGCATAGTGATTTGTACTTAACGTAATAATTAAAAATGATACCCTGTACAACGAATTTTCAAATTTTCTTTCGCACCATGGATCGCCTCATTCTTACTTGTGCTGTGATTTTTCGAATACCCTGTACCTTAACAATGCATATTAAAAGTTTGAGCAAAAAATGAGACAAGTAGAAATGTTTTGCGTAGTATTTATATAGCCAAGCGAATAGGTGAGCCGAGTGTATCTTAGATATGTAACAATGTTGAAATTATTCTTTTATGCCCTGTAATTCTCTCAGAAGGAGAAGGATCAATTTTATGTGAGCCTTCGCCTTTGCTATCTCTTTGCGATACAGCGCAATCTGCTCTTCCAACAGCTTAATTCGCGCATTGATAACTACTAATGCACGGTCTAGAGTCAATTCCAAATAATGTCCTAAACCAATATCCAAAAGGATTGTGGATGCATCGGGCACTTGTGCTTCGATATAGAAATTTTGTCCAACGTTTATTTGAGTCTTGAAACCACATTTATCGAATTCATTATCCTGAAGAGTAGCGATAACAGACTTTAGCTGAACGAACTCTGCGATCTCTGTATTTTTGGAGTCGAGCTTTTGTTCTAACGAAAGAAGATCGTCTTTTAATACGTCATTGACAATTGTCTCATACAGCAAGATCTTGTGTTGAATATCAGGATTCATAATCGGACAGGATCTACAACATACAAATCGGAGAGATGATAGACATTAGAAAAGCGTGAAAAATATAGGTTATGCTTACTCTTCACCTCTTTAACATGCATATCATTTTCAAGAAGCCACGAGGATCTACTCACCAATAGTATATTGGGAAGTTGGACTTTTAGCTGACTTTACACTAAACCATCTGTGATCGACGAGACTAAATAAATAACCTCCTCATTTCTGAGATATTAATATGCGCATAATCATACACGTAGTGTTACTGTATCTACTTCAGTTCTTGTTCACATTTTTGTTACAGAATGATGATACAGCTCGTAAAATTAGTGTTTACATTTCTTTAATATATAAGTAAATCAAGTAAATCAAGTATTTCAGACGTGTCAACAATTGTGCGTTCCAATGCGTTCATTCGAGTGCGCCAGATATTCTCCTGGTGGCAACTAGCTGAAACTTGTTACTCTATCGACAAGGTAAATTACTTTCTGCATTTAAACCTATAACATATTTCTAATAACTTCCTACAAATAACTGCATCTCAGCTAATATAAATTATCTGATCCAATAATACTGTAAGAGTTTTCGAAATTTTAAAGGCACAAATTAAAGTTTCAACATTGCTCTTTATCGTAGATTTATTTGGAACGGTAGGCATATTTAAACAAATATTGACAAATCAATAAATCTTGATCGATAGCTTGGAAAAAGAAAATTGAATTTTCAGGGATTATTTCAAATTGATTTATGAATATATTGCTATTGTAAGTGAAAGATTTAATTCATGATGAATATAAGAAAAGATTCTATATTCAGCATCTATAATGTGCACTAGATTTAAACAGCATGCCTGCGAATTCATTAAGCTATTTTACCATTCTCGTAGGCATTTTTATGTCATGCTGACATTGTGTGGGGACAGTAGGAAATGACTCGGGCGCTCCATGTGAGTACAATAGTATTGAATTGTGAGTACTATTGGCATAAAAACAATCTCTAATTAACCTAGCATGTACTTGAATGTATCAACTTAAAAAAAAATCGATTTGTTCATTTTAACGAAAAAAACGCATGTATAAAAATTATATCTCGAAAGTTTTCGGCCGAAATCCAAAGTATTTGTAGTTGAAAATTTGATTGAATCGACCATTTTGATATTCTGACTTTCCTTTATTGTTTGAACTTTAAAGTACATTTGAATTTGCGCAGTTACTATTTCTTTAAAAATTATTTAAATTAAGTAATTTCTTTGAATCGATGTATGAAATTTTGGGATCACATTTCCGAGATGTCACCGAAAGAGCGGAGATTAATTGTTTCGATTATTCTACATAGGAGTTCCTCAAAGTTAAAACGGTTTCCGACGAAATCACTAGTCGCTGCGACAGCTATAAAAAAAAAAAGAATAGACAGTCATCCCAACGAACTAGCGAAAAAGCTGCACAAAACTAGTCTGCCTCGCAGACTGCATAGGAAACACCCAAAGGATCTTCTATCCTAACAGCACCAAGCCTCAACAGATGTTATCCACGAGGATAATATTTACGTGTTAATTAACCAAACCCGATACTACAATTTATCGAATGTCCTTGCTGGACAAATTGTAAAGAATCTTGGAGATAATAAAAAAAATAAAAATAAAAACATAGGGGTTAGTTGGCCGCGCTTAGGGAAAGCTTCGTCAACGAGCGGACAAAACCCAGTTTCGCTCATTGGTTCGATCGCTTCGCGCCAGCCGAGCTCGCCTCTGGTTGGTCACTGTTTTTTGTTAATGATTCGTAATTAAAGCCGCGAATTGTATTTTCGCTAAGGAAAAAATTACTTCAAGTGACCTCAGGATCTCCCCATTTTCGGATTTCAAGACATTTTTAGGACATAAATATAATATATAATATAATACAATTTTTTTCGTGGTTAAATCTATCATAGATTTAATGATTAGAGTTTTCCCTTTATTACGATCTGCTAAAAATTCAATATACCATTTTTTTTTTTTTGGAGCTGTTGTAAACAACGGTACGACATTATTCTAATATTTACAGCACATCTTTCATTGAAAATAAGGCGATCTAAAAACTCGACTATCAAGTCATAGTGAGTTGTAAGGAGGACGTTTCTTTAAAAACAAATTTCAATGATTCTAGAGACGTTATCTTAACAAAAATTTAATGATGGATTGTGAATGCAGAGGCACCATGCTTTGAAACGAGTTTAGTTTGATTATTGCAGATTTTCTTTTTACAAAACGAGAACAGTTTAAATATGAGCAATTTTGCAAAAATCAGAGAAACATTCAAATACTTTTTGGACTCACCCTGAGTAAGTTCGTTAAAATAATACATAGTGCAAATCATTTTCATTAAACTACTCCTTACTGCGATAAATATTTATTCATTCATTGTCATTCATTATTCGCAGCCGAGAAAATAAGGTATAGTGTATCAACACGTACACAGAAATTAATTCTACAGAACACAGCGCTTGTGTAGAAGTATTGCATCGTAAACTATATTTCTTCTTACGAAATCGGTTCAGGACATTTTTCACTGAATTATATCATTCAAATTGGCTTCACCTATCCTTTCTCACTTATCCAGGATTGTAATACGTCCGTGAAACTGTTAGCGCATTCACAATCGATAAATCACAGTCATAAACGCGCGGACTTAGTTTACAACCTTATATTATACAGTATTGCATGGCACTTCGTGGAAACGTTTTCTGGAGCAACGTCGAATGAACGACGTTTGTTCAGTGCTTGATAGCAATGATAATATAATCTTACTAGTTCTCATTTCCAAATGAGGAATTCCCGGAACGAATCATCCGATTTCAAAAATTTATATTTTAAAAAATTACACACAGAAAATTATAATTCAAACACGAATATAACGGGAAAATGTGTGAGTTTTTGTTTACAAGTGTTCGATATGACTTCCTTTCGTTACACGTATGATATCATTGCGATATGAAAGTTCTTGCCAAAATGTTTCTACAGCATCACAAATGCGTTTTTTCAGTTCATTTACACTTGTAGGTAAAGGTGGTACAAAGACAAGATCCTTCACAAATCCCCAAAGGAAGAAGTCGCATGGGGTTAGGTCGGGTGATCTCGGAGGCCAACTGTGTAGAACCATATTATCGGATGAACTGCGACCAATCTAACGGTTTGGTAGTTCCGTGTTAAGAAAACTCCGAACCTCCAAGTGCCAATGGGGTAAAAAGTAAAACTCGCACATTTTCCCGTTATATTCGTGTTTGAATTATAATTTTCTGTGTGTAATTCTCTAAAATATAAATTTTTGAAATCGGATGATTCTTTCCGGGGAACCCTGTACTTCCGCGATACTAGTGTTTTACCATTGCGTTAATTCGACATCGAGGGACTAATTGAACTGCTGAAACGAAAAATGGCTGGTGATTGAATATATAAACTAAGTGGAAAAAATTGAGCCGTGCTAGCTAACGCTAACGTTAACGTAACTACGGGGAGCACAAAAGACAGCTGTTTTATATCAGTTTATAAATTTATTTATTTTTTATATCAGGTTAGAAGACATTTGTTCTGATTTTTAACAAGTGTTGTTGCAACATTTGCCGTAAGTAACATACAAATTGAATAAATAATTCATTAGTGTATCTTTACGATATGAATAAACGTAAATTAAAAAATTAGTGACCCGTCATTTCGACGGGTTCCGTAATTCTAGTGTTAAACAACATTCTGTGGATTGGTGATTTCGTCCGAGAAGATATTTAGAAAGTTAATTGTTTATCTCTGCGTCACATTGATTTTTACTTGTTCATGCTAAGTGGGCAGATTGAATTGTAGAAAAAAGGAACCGACGCGACAACGAACAAGAAACCAACGAGGATCGTAGACATGGATTGAGTTATTGAAAATATCAAATTAGATAGGATCACGGTCGGTTAAAATTTCAGATATTGTTTAAATATCTTTCTATGGACTGAAAATACATTGTTCAGCAAATGGTCGATCATTATTATCTATAATCGGCGGTTTCGTCTGTCGGGTGTGTTCGTGTTCGAACGGCTCTACCTGGCCAGTTCTCTAAATCCAGTAATTTCGGGTAATTCCGGTTAGAGACACGACAACTTAGAGAAACTTTAGCCGAAACTGCAGCCGATTGCCACTCTGTTTCCAGGCTACGCATTATTTAAGTTGCCGCTTAACGGCCCCTAAAGAATACTCTCGCGACATTTACCCACCCTATCCGAGGTGAACGTGCCCTGTTTCTTGTAAAATTTACCAGGCAGGTAGCCGGGGTTCGCGATCGCCTCCGGGACGAATTAAACCATTCACGCTCATCGTGGTCTTTCGTTACTACTACGCATGTATTTTAATTGCTATGCAATTTTTTGATCTGCGAGCACTAATATAGAAACCCGGTTACAGCTAGTCTACGACTTATCGTCGACCTGCCGCCACATAAATGTTATCTCTAGACACTTACAGTGTCCTACAAAAGTGTTCGTACACCTTTTGAAACGCGATAACTATTTTTAAACTGAATTAAACGAATTGAATCTTTTTTAGATGTCTACTAAATCATAAAACTAGAATGTTTCTTTTTATCAATATTGCTATTGCCTAGAATGACGAAAGAAAATAAAGAAACTCTTGTTTTCTAACCTTTTATCTCAGGCTACAACGAACATTTGAAAAATGTGTCTTGTAGGTGTCGGTAAGTTATGCGCATGTTCAAAATTTCACCGAAATCGGTCGACCTAAGTATGAACTGTAAACAATTAAAGATCGCAAAAATCACAGTTTTATCACGATTTTCACCAAAAATGTAAGAAAACTGCAGTTTCTGAAATCCTTCTACGCCTGTAGCTCGATTCTGCGTCAACCGATTTCGATCAAATTTTCAGCATGCATATAAGATACCGAGAACTACAAAAGGCATTTTTTTAAATTTTCGTTAATAGGCTCATATAAAAAAGTTTAAAAACAAGTATGTTTTATTTTTTTTCTCTTCATTTCAGGTAATA